ATGATGAGGATGCAGATTTTGGCTCAATCTGGAAGCTATGCCAAGGTAAGCAATTGCCTGAAGGCTATGCAATCGCACAGGGATTTTTATTCAAACAGAATCTGCTTTGCATCCCGGTCTCTTCATGGCGGCAGCATCTGATTCGTGAAATACACGGGGGGGGGAGGGGGTGGGTGGGGGTGGGGGGGGGGGGGGGGGGGGGGGGGGGGGGGGGGGGGACTGGCTGCCCACCTAGGCCGAGACAATACACTTCATCAAATCCAAGCTCGTTTCTTCTGGCCGAGGATCCGTCGAGACACCATTCGGTTTGTGGACAGTTGCATTGTATGTCAGACATATAAAGGCGGAGCTCAAAATACCGGCCTGTATATGCCACTTTCGGTGCCCAATTCCATATGGGAGGAGTTAAGCATGGACTTCATCCTCGGCCTACCGCGGACCAGACGCGACAACGACTCCATTTTTGTGGTCGTTGACAGATTTTCAAAAATGAGCCATTTCATCCTGTGCAAGAAAACCTCCAATGCCTTGAACATTGCAACACTTTTCTTTAACGAAGTCATTCGTTTACATGGAGTACCGAGAAGTATTACTTCAGATAGGGATGCGAAGTTTGTGAGCCATTTTTGGCGTGAGGTTTGGAAGAGATTAGGAACCGAATTACGATTCAGTTCAGCTTATCATCCTCAATCCGATGGGCAAACAGAAGTAGTGAACCGAACACTTGGTAATATGCTTAGATGCTTAGTGCAAGAACAGCCCAAGCTATGGGAAGACATCTTGGCCAGGGCGGAATTTGCCTATAATGCAATGCCCAACCGCTCCACCGGTAAGGCTCCATTTGAGATAGTGTATACCAAAGCTCCAAACTCCGCCGTTGATATTGCTGCAATTCCCAGAAGTGCGTCCAAGGCCGTTACCCACTTCACAGAGGATTATTCTCATATGTTGGAAAAAATACGACAACAACTCGTGAACTCGAATCAGCGTTATAAGGCTGCTGCGGACACACACCGTCGGGAAAAGGTATTCCAGGTGGGCGATTTGGTCATGGTGCGCCGCCGACGTGAAAGGTTTCCGCCCGGAACCTACTCTAAGTTAGCCAAACGCAAACTTGGTCCCGTACCCATTGTGGCTAAAATCAATGACAACGCTTATCGCGTTGATCTTCCTCCGGACAGCCACACGTCCCCCACGTTCAACGTATCCGATATTTCTCAATACAGACCTACAGACGAAGCTGTTGTTTCGATCAGCTCGTCAGAGTCGAGCTCTGATGAAGCCGGGGAGGACTGATGCAACTTTAGCTTACAATAAGCCGCCAGGATGACTTATGCGCCTGGATAGTATTGGCACCACAGCTAGCACATGACCACTACCTTCATTTCCGTTTTTGTTATTAGTTACTTTTACAGCTTTTGCTTTATTTCTCCAAATATAGATACATAGAATTCAGGAACTAAGTATTTGTAAAAGTGTTCAAATTTATTTGTTAAATTTTGTTACTAAAACTTTATATGATAAGTATTAGATTGATATATTGAAGTATCATGTTAGTTTAGTTGAAGTATATTTTATCAGTTATAAAATACTATATTGGCATAAATATAATTTCCCCTTTCATGTGTTGAATATTATAATAGAGATAGGCCATCTTATTTAAGGTTATGGTGAAGTTTGCCATGCTCCAATATATGTTTTTAAGGAATCGCCTCATTTGAATCTTCTAATTATCTACTAGAGCCACTAATAAACACACGCGTGCTTGCGCACACATATACACACATTTCTATAATATAAAAAATCATATACACTAGCAATGAACATATTATGAACATATTTTAAATCATTCTATCTTAATATACTTTCATAACTATAAAAATAAATGGAAAACATATAAGAAATACTTATCACTAAAAATTTGATCAATCTCACTCCACTGGGGACTTACCCTCTTCTGAAATCATATAAAAACATATAATGAGTAGAAGCTCAGTGGATCACCATAACACATCAGTACATCCAATACAAGAAAGGAAAAATAATATGCTTGTAATCATTCATATGATGTTAGTAGGATATATCTTATCAAATCATATGAATAAGTTCATGTCAGTATAACCAATATAAATCATAAACAATCATAATCATAATGGATTAGTAATCATTAACTCAGCTTTATCCTGTTCCACCATGAAAAGTACTACAAGAAGACTATCGTGTGAATATCTATATCACTTTAATCATTTATTGATGCAAATTAACATCTTGATTGTTCTTTCTATAGATGACCATGTCAACATTTATCAATATATATTACTATGCATGTCGTGTCATGTTATATATGTGGAATGTATTAGTATAATGTATATCATATATTTATATAATGTAGCACATAGTGATATCACACATCATATATCATATGTCCTAGCTATATCATATATCAGTATCTCGCACCTTTGCTTGCACCATTATTATTTCACATCATGTTCATGTACTATATAACTTATGCATGCTCATGTTATGTATAATCTTATAAAATCATGTCATGTATGGATATAATATTAAATTCATTTTAATGCAAGTTAGGACATTCGGCTAACCATATGGTATATTTTATGCATTCATGTATCATTGTCAGGATGCTTATTGTAATAATCGTTACTCCACCCCATTGATGTATCTTGTCCATTTATAACTCCCTATCTTGTATCTTACATTGGTATTACACTAAAGACCCATAATTTAAAGAAAAGATTGTCTTCTCACAGTCCTATAAAAGATATCATGTTCCTCCCAACCTGAATCAATCTATACTAGCCAACATTTATTACAATTACTACATATTGTATCTTATCATTTATAGTACGAGCAACACATATCATATATCAATCAACATGTGGACCGCTTTAACATGATATTATTAATATGCATTTCTTACCACTAAGCTTACAATAGTATGTTTGCCATGTCATGTTCATGTAAGCTATACCAAATATATGTCAGTCTTAATGAAATCAATGCAACTTCCCTAATTTTATTTACATATGTGTTTTCATTCTTATCAATTCAGTTAAAATCCTAAACATGCAAAACCATCCAATAAAATTTTAAATTAAAAGCTTGAAGCATATTTAAGAGAACCAAATGATCTTCAAATTTAGCATACTTATAGCCAAGTGGAGCATCTTTGCAAGATGAATACAACAAGCCTAAGTGTTATACATTTCAATAACATTAAGGTATTTAAATATTGAACAAGCACTTTTATATTCAAGTTAATTAATACAGGCCATGCAATGAAGTGTTATGGATTTTTTACATATATAAGTCATTATAAAAAAATATAAATAGCTCCATGCTTTTGTAATAATGTCATATCTATGTTAAGTCATATATAAATCTCTATAATTAATGTTCACATAGTAGGATCATTTTAACTGCACAGGACCTCATTCTTTTTTCCTTTTATGTTTTTTACATGTAAAAAATTTGATGTCACTCTTGCTCTTTCATTTATCTGTTTGCACATTGGATTCTAACGCAAAACTACAATACAAAAGACTCATTTTACTACTGCAAAAAAAAAAAAAAAGCCAACAATAATCATTATTTTTAATTATAATATAATATTTATATTTTTATTATCTCGTATATTATATGAGCTTATATTTGAAATTGATACGCCACCAAAAAAACTCCTTGATTGAGCACAACTTTTGAGGCATATTTAGGTTGACAACTTCCAAAATTAAGTTCATGACCATCAAAATTCCGATTTCAATAAATTTATAATAAAATTAAACACTTCAAAGAGACTAACCCAACAACGTCAAAGTTGGTCCAATCCGAGCCCAAGAAGACTCAAATCAAGTGACCAAAGCGCATTTAAAAGTTTAAAAATATTAATTGGATGACCAAATGATATTCAAATAAAGCATACTTATAGTCGAATATAGCTTCTTCACGAGAAAAATCCAACGAGCTTAAAATCTCTCAATTATAACATCATTAAGACATTTAAATGTTGAATAAATGAGTAGATCAGGAAATCTATTTGGGCCTCCCGATGCAATGCTAAGGAATTGTTCCTTATTCCTCATATAATTACGGGGTATATCATTCACAAAAATCTATAAATACGCCCATATTCTCTTTTATGAAGGGGAATTTTTGGCTTGAGATTGGCGAGAGCTTTGAGACTTTAAGGACCTAGAGCTCCACCCAAACACCACCGTAGACAAATTTATGTTAGCCGATTGGACCACCGTATGGTTTCTTGGCCTCCACCACCACCCGATCCTGCATCACCCCTGAACATCCGCTCGACCGTTGACTAACGCCAGATACCTCCCGGCCCCAACACCTGCTGAATCTTCTCCCAGCCATTACCACCAGACTCCTGACTTCCATTGTCTGACTACGATCATTACAAGCTCCTAAATACTTATAAAAAGTTCGACCAACTCTCCAACACATTGTGATTTCATCTTCTCTAAGTTAAGGAACGGGTCAAGCTTTATAACTCACTTAAGTATATGGAGTCTTCTCACCTGGGCAAAGCCACGTGGTTTTCCACGTTAAAAAATTTATGGTGTTTTTTTTCTATTAATTATCTATTTGTGTATGAAAGATACATTCATTACTAGAATGAAACATTCTCTCACTCTCCGAATATACTAGCCAACAAAGGTTATTAAGACTTCATTTGAGATAAATTTTTTACTGTTTTCTAAAATAAATTTTTAATGTAAAAAATTATTTTAAAAAATAATAAAAAATGATTGCAAACTGAACTTAAATTTTATGTGGGGAGTGAATAAAAAAATATTAAAAAAAAACTCAATAACTGAGCGACCAATCCGATGGTCTAAAGTTTCCGAAATCATACAAAACTCCATTAGATGAATGAATATTGTCGGCCTTTATGAAAGCGGTAAACCAGGCCAGGGATATAAAATCGGAGAGAAAAGACCTGTCATATCCGCTAAATTGTAAGCCCCTTTTAGTTTTGAAAATTTCGGATTCGGCTTTCCTTTCTCATTTTAACTGCCAGGCTGCCAGCGTGCTTCGGCGGAGCTCCGGCCGTTCGTCCTGGAAACTGATTTTTTTTTTTCTCGTGAGCCTCCGTCACCACTCCTTGATACGGTGAGTCTGGATCTCCCATTCACTTTCATCGGTCTTTGTCTATGTCAACCTTTTCGTCCCCTTTCCTGATTATTTCTAGGGTTTGCATTCATGTGCCACTTTGGCTGCGGCTGATATGGTCAATCTTTATTTTTTGTAGTTAGGTTCTGGTTAGGAAGGAGGCTGAGAGAAGATGTCTGCTCGACAGCAAGTCACCATAACGCTGGGTCGGAGCGGTCAGGTGCACTTCCTTAGCTCTGTCTCCAGTTCATGTTGTCCATCGCTACCGAATGGTCTGGGCAAGTTAACATTTTATTGTATCTTGGTTTCTGTGAAATTTTATGCCTAAGCTTATTCGCTTATGGACTTTGGTTTTAGGTTTTATTTCTTGGTTTGAGAGCTGAGACTTGAGAGTATTTGGGCCTGTAGTTGTCTGCTGGGGTAGTAGGGGAGGTATGGTTTTTGTAGGATATCCTTTGCTTATTAATCCGTGAATCCCTTGAAATTATAACTTCCACGTCTAAGAACCTTCTGTTGGCACATGGGAGTTATGATGTACGTAGCTGTCCTCAGGAGTGATGGGAGCTATGACTTACATAGGATATCCATTCCTCATTGATCTATTGGAGCCCTTGAAATTGTAATTTCCAAGTTAGACAACCTTCTCTTGGCAGACATGCCTATTTCTCTCTTTTTTTTGTTTTATATGAAATTATGAAACTAGGTCGGTATGATAAAAAAGTATAATTGAATTTAGCCATCCTGAAATTGAACTTTAAATATGGAATTTAACTTGACTCAATAATTTTTATGCTAAGCCAATTTGAACTCAAATCCATCTGGAATAGAGTTAAAATGCTAATGGATGTTTGAGAGAGGGATTGAACTAAGTACTGATGCATGCCTCTATACAATGCATTGATTAGCCCCATAATCTTGTAATCTCTAAGTTTAACATGATTCTTATACTAAGTTAACTTGAAATCAAATCTAAGCTGACTAAAATCATATAAACAAAGGGGTATTAGAGGGAGGGGTTGAATTGAAACCTATTACAAGAAGCAAATGCCTTTGTATAATGTGCCAATTAGGTCGATATTTAGATGTTACGCTATATATATATTCTTAATTTTTTTTACCAAGTTGAATTAATTTTTGAGAAATCCTCAACATGAGTTTAACTTTAAATTATGTTTGAGCTAGGGATCAGTTCAAAACAAGCTCAATGAAGTTCAAGCTTCTTTTGGGTTAACACTAGAGCAAGTTAAGAACTTTTGTGCGTAGATTAGTTAAATGAATCACTTGAGTGTTGAGGTGAATAGTCAATTGACATTATTAATGTCATTGCATAGTTTCAAACCATTCACCATTTGAATCTTCAAAGGTAAGTTTCATAAAAACTAGATATTGATTTCATAAAATGATAAGCCAACTTGAATGTAAACTAAAACAAATTCAATTTAAATCATGATCTCATTGACTTGCATCTCAACATTAGGGATAGATTTAGAAGGTGCATCATATAATATATCATCATGCACACACATGCAGAAGGTCTACATTATCTTGAAATTTATGGACTAGATGCAACATTTGAGGTTTAGTTTTGTCACATTAATAAATGTTTGGTTTTACCTTACTAGATGAAATTTATGTTGGTTCCACATAAAAAATGTTTGGGCTAATTTTGCTAGAGCATGTGTGTGAGCACATAAGTGTCTGCATTCCCATGGGCTTGTTCATGCACATTTACTTATTCATGTACGTGAAAATATAGAAATATGTACCCTTAGGCTCTACATGAATTATCAAAGCTTAGTCTGTACTGTTGTAGATTGTCTATGGAGAGGCTATAGAGGATGTTTGAAATGAGGTGCCTTGGTCTATGCTATTTGAAAATGAGTTAGTTGAGTAGTTTTAACAAGCTAGACCATTGTTAAGATAAGTTAAGATAGAATAATGGATAATTTTCTTAGAAGATATGAAACATTATTCTTAAAGAAAAGACTGGATTTATGATAGTTAATTTGGTGTGAAATTGATAATCACAATTAATATTATTGCAATGTAAACTGATAATTACGTGTGTTAATATCTTTTATTTATGATGCGAAGAAAATGAATATACTATATTTTCCAAAACTTGCAATTTGATTAAAATGGAGAAGTGCTTAAGAAGTATTATGAAATGAGATAATATAAGAGAGTATAAAGGAAAATTTTATAAAGCTGCATTTAGGCCTACTGTGCTATATTATTGAGTTTGAGATATAAAGAAATTGCTGATAGCCACATCTTAATTGATAAAAATAAAAATGTTGAGATGGGCATGATGTGAAATTAGGGAGGATGGATTAAACATGATTATATGAGAGAATTAATCAAACTAGCACTTATAGAAGATATAATATTGTTGGAAATTGATTGGGTGATTTAGGCATGTCTGCATCATTAGGATGTAGAGATTAAAATTGATATGAAAGGATTAGAAAGGCAAATAGTTGTATGAAAGGTTACATGACTAGAAGTTATGCTAAAATATTCGAGTAGCATACAATTAATAGGTGCAACACAACAAAAATGAAATGACAATGTGGTTCCTAAAGCCAACTCTAATTGCTTCATAACCCTCCAAATATTCCTGTAATGTTTAGGTATTATCTATTAACGATTGAGATTGTGGTTTCAATTGCAGATGCTAGAAGTTAACATTACCACATGCATGTGCCATTTGTGTGTGCATGGTATATATTGTAAGATATACTCATTGATTCTACTCTGATGTTTAAGTGGAATAGTATTGCAATATTTTGATAAGATAACTTTAAAGTTCTCATTTCCTTAAGTCACAGGAATGCAAATGATGCCATAGTCCCCAGCTTTTTATTGATACTGTCTTGCTTTTTCCATATTGATGTTGCTATAGGGCCCAAACTAGAAATGTCAATATATGCTACTGAGATTATGATTGGTTGGTTGGAAGCATATTAGAAAATGATTATCAAAGCATTAGTTGTAAGTACAAAATTGTATCTAACAATTAATACAGCTTTAAGATTGAGTTTTTTTTTTTTAATTTTGTTTTAATTTTTTTTAATTTTAGTGAAATTGGATTTTTTTTCCCAAATTAACATAACTTTAGGCTCAAATGATAGACAGATTAGATTATGACTTTTAAGGTGGAAAGTTTTAGAATAGTGTTAATCATAGTGATGTAAATGCAGCATTGTGTTTTGATTGTCATTTTCAATGGAATCTCTACTTGATTTCTACTACTTCCAAATCAACATAAAAATCCTGTGAGTGAAAATGATGGAATGATATTTTATCTTGTTAATGTATATCTAGCTTTTGAGTTTTTGCTTTATATTTCTAAAATGTATTGGCTTTCCTAGTATTAGCTGCTTTGTATGCTCTTATGATCCCTAGACAGTTTCTTGTTCCTTCTAGTTTGGTCTTTAGTGTGTTTGACAAATATATATATTTGGTGGTATGAGCAAGGGATGATCAATAGATTTCTCATGTCATTGGCATTGGTTTTAGGGTTGGTTATGGATTATGATTCTGACTTTTTGAATGGCTTAGAGGAGATACTTTCAATCATGGCACACAAAAGGAAGATTTATATAAGGTTCAACTATTGGATTTGGACCAATGGTCATTACACCTATAAGGTAAATAACTCACCTCTGAGCTAAGTGTGCTGTCATAAGAGCTATGGTGTATGTGTGTATGATATTCTCAATTTGTAATCAGATCGAGGCCTATTCATTGAAGTCTATTTTTAGTGCTGCTAGATCTTTAACGAGGTGGAAGTTCTTGTATTCCACTTATATTGTAGTTTACAAGGTATTAACTTAATTTAGCAAAGGCAGATGCTTTGGGACATTTTTAAATTCTAGTTAAGTGTTATAATAGACTTTTTCTTTGTTCTTATTTGAGTGGTGGATATGAGTATATGAGCTTTCGTTCCGTGCAGGGAGAGAGCGGAGCGAGCAAGATCGAGAGAGAGCGGGCGTGAGAGTGAGAAGAACCGAATGCCTTGCTTCCCTCCCTATTAACGACACTAAATCGTGCGGAGATGTGGGGACGCGACATCAGTCGTGAGCGACGTGCGGAATTCGGCGCCGAACAGGTACGTTATTATTTTTTTTCTTTTGTATACAGTTACGGGTCAACACTAACATAATTGCTTAGTCATTTTCAGAACAAAAAAAATGAGAAACTTTTTTATAATGTTATTATTCTACCAACAGTTATTGATTTATTAAGATATTTTATAAAGCACATGCTATTCGGGATAGCATTGCATTTTGACAGCCCCCTACAATTTGGGGGTTGATTTTAAGATTTTTTTACGCTTAATTTTATATTTCAGTTTTCTCATATAATTAGTTGCAGGTTGTCAAAAGAGCAAGGACCACCTCTGACGTTAGCAGCTCTGACTATGCTCCATACTTGGAGGGAAAGAGATCTGTTAGAGAAAGGTTGGGGAGCAATTTGGATGGGCAACATCTGCATGAAAATCAGTATAGAAAAAGGTTTTTACGTTTTGTTTTTTGTTTTTGTTATTTTTTTTGGTTTTTTTGGGTTTGAGGTATATCATGGATCATCTTATACACTTCAGAACTTATCTAACATTGTTTGTATCATCTGCTAGACGGCTTTTTATGGAGAAGCTCCTACATAAAAATTCACGGCTTTTTATTGAGAAGCTTCTACATAAAAATGCAAGATTAGAAATGAAGAGTTCTTATTGGCAATAGGTGCTGCATGTAGCTTAAGATTTCTCTCTTTCTCTCTCTCTCTCTCTCTCTCTCTATATATATATATATATATATAACGTATCATATGTTCAGAAAAAATCTTTATAAAGGTTGGATTATCCTTCTAATCTTCTGGCCCTGTGCAAGCCAGATTCTTCAAATTTTTATTTTCTAGCCTTTAATCTTACTTATATTTCTGGTATGTGGATTCATCCTTTGAATGCACTTATATACATATCTATACACTACATGTTTTGTCATAAGGAAAGATAATTTTTTTTATTGAAAATTTTGGAACGTATGAGCAGGGAGAAGCTCCATTTCAAAATGTGAATGTGTCATTCTCTCTCTCTTTTGAATTTTTTCTTTATTTGTGTGAGGGAAAAGAACTTTGTATTTAAGAAGGGGTAGGTCTAATAATCCATATAATATGTAATCTAATATACCTATCATACCATTGTTTAGTTATAGTATTCTCTTCTTAATTAATATCAATAATTACTTTGAAATTAACTTTCTTTCTTGTCAGTATCAAAAAGTTAAAGTTAAATTTTAATTTTAAATATTTTAGAGATAAAGAAAGAGATTGTTTATTGTTTTGAAGCTTAATATATGGCGAGGGTCCAATTTACAAATGAGTCTCTCAAAATTTTCATACATTTAATTTTATAATCTAGAAGAGAAGTGATCTATCAACTTAAGCCTTCTAAAATAGTCCCATGACGAATGAGAGAATAAAAAACCTGTAAATAATAATAATTAGTAAAAAAAATTTTCTCATGCTGGTGTTACCTTCTCGTGGATTCTGCGTGAAACTGATTCTCATTTTAAGTGGTGTTTTTTTAATACTGCTAAGTCAAGAGTATGAGTGATATCTTTTTCTATTTCCCCCTTTTTTAGTTGCATTATGACCGCTGTTATTTGCCCCAGTTTCAAATATGTTTCCAAAAATACAGGCATATTTGTTGACGGCACTTGAAGCACTAAAGTTAAAACACTAACCTGGGCCCATTCCTTTGAATGTGGTTTTTTTTTTTTCTTTGGGAATTTGATCACAGAAGAGATTTTGTCTTCACAGAAATTTAGCAATTTAAGTTAGCATTGTAACTTCTTACATGAGCTGATTTCTAGCTGCCATCTGTGGCATTTGCTAGGCAGCTGTGGTGCATGTGATGACAACAATAACTTGATCATCATCAGATAATTGCCTGCAAGGATCCCGTGCATGGAAAACCATAATGTGACAACTATCATGACTTTACTTCACTTAAGTGTATCATCTAAATGTCCCAGCTAAGGTTGCTTGCAATGCGTGTTAGGCTTCAGTTTGGACACAGAATCTGGTCCTTGGACACTTCTAACTCAGGCCTACAGAAAATGATTACATAGACCTGAATAAGGTTTGTTGTTATTCTTGATTAACCATAAAAATAAAAAAGTGCAAGAAGACTGCAAAAATAGAAATTATAAATGGGTTAGATTAGTTTTGGCTGGAAACATAAATATAACATTTTAACTGTTATACAATAAATTTATTTCAAGCAATAATCACATGAAAGACACCTATAGGGTGGGTCTAGTACAATGTTTAGTTAGCCTCAATAGTAAGATGTAGGCCAGTGTATGTTTCATGGAAACAACCTTTGAAATGTTGGGCAAGACTGCATATATTAATCTCCTTAACAAGCCTTACATTGATGGGATTCACATGCCTTTTTTATTAGAATATGGAAGCATGTTGTTGTACTTTGATATAAGGGATAAACAGATGTATTAAGAAGAATCTAAACTTTTGAAGCCATAATAATGGAAACAGGTTGTTGTACTTTGATGTAAGGGTCAAACGGATGTATTATGAAGAGTCTAAACTTTGGAAGCCATAATACATTCTGTAATTGCGCTTCCTATGTGTGGTATATTTGTAATAAGTTGTTTTAGAAATGCTTACTCTCTTAAGAAAGCTAGATTCCAGGGTACAACAACAACAACATCAAGCCTTTGTCCCACTACGTGGGGTTGGCTATATGAATCCTTTTTCGCCATTGTGTTCGGTTAAAAGTCAAATTCTCATTTAAATCTAATAAAGAAAGATCATTTCTAATATTTTATAACCAAATCTTTTTAGGTCTACCTCTACTTTTCATAACATAATTCAAATCTAATACCTCAACTTTTCTAACCGGGTCGTCGGATGTTTAATATTTTTATAGCATTTTGGCTGATGTTTTGAAGGATTGATTGATGCACAATTTTTACAATATTAAGTTGTTTGACATGCTGATTTTCCTTATATAAAATCCTTGTTTTACAGGCAACGGACAAGTAATTATGATTCGAGTAACAATCACATGACTGATGAAAGGCAGCTCATGTCCAGTATCCTATTTTTGTCATTGGAATTATATGAGCTACACACATGCACACACCCTAAAAAAAGGAAGGAAGAGAACTATTTTCTGCTGTGTTTATCTTAACAAAAATAGATGTCAGGTTTAGTCGTGATGACCTGAGATACAAACTCTTAAGCAAAGGTCAATCCAGAAGTGTAGTTGATTTTGATGGACAAAATGGTGTAGATCTTCGTGAAAAGCTTTCTCGAAGCTCTCGTATCTCACTACGAAATGAGCCAAGAAAAAATATGATTGAACCAAGGGCCCTAACCATTTCAAGGGGAATACCTCCTACAAGAAGTGCTGATGATTTGCTTCGGCTGGATTCATCCAGAAACTCCTACCCTTCCTTGACAGTGGATGGACTAAGGCACAGATCCCCAGATAGGTTATTAGGTGCTTCTAGGCATTTGTCTCCACGGAGAAGCTACGATGAAGTGAGAAATAATCCATCTGTGAGGCCCTATGATGACTCAAGGCCAGCAGTTTATATAACAAGAAGAATTCCTGACACTTCAAGACCAGCAACTTTCATGAACAAAACTGTGGTTCCAGTTGATGCTTCAAAATCTAGTTTGGGTGCTCTTCCTGGCATTGTGCAGAAAAGCTCTTATATGGTGAGTTTACAGTATGTTGGTTTTAAGTTCTACATTGTTATCCATGACTGGAGTTTATTTACCCAAGCAGTCATCACTTATATCATCAGTATCAGCATGTTCCAATCAGTGGCATTTTCATTTACTTGCAGCTGCCTATAATTGAATTGAGTTCACATTTTATTTTTTATTTTTTTCATATCATGAATTGTTGAAAATGCATGGTATATTACATGGTACATGACATCCTTTTGATAGATGAAAAGCTAAAGTTGCCTCACAACGCTTAAAGTCAAGCAGTCAAATTTATATTATAGCACAGATTTAGAATTATATATATATATATATATATATATATATATATATATGTATGTATGTATTGATTGATTGTATTTTTAAGACTAACTCATTACCGGTAAATAGTCTTGGCACATCTAATCATTACTTGGTACCCTTGTCTGGTTATTGTTGTGAATCCATATTTTTTATTTGTTAGATTGTGCTATATGTTGGTTGCCTTTTAGGTTGGACAAATATTTGATGCTAAGAGAAAACATGACGCTTTTGACAAAGAAATGATTTCCATCACCATCATTATCTTTAGACTTATCCCAACTATTTGGAATTTACTTTATGAATTCTTTTTTTTTTAATCTTGTGAGAAAAATTGAAAAGGATAAATTAAGGAATGATAATAGAGATGGCTGATGTGACATCCATTGAAGATAAAGTAATAGGGGGTCTGGACATATATAACAAAGAAGTAAATAAAGCACTCAGTAGACTAGTAGAGAAAGTGAGTGTTGGAGGATTTTGATGGAGAAGGGTTAGATCTAATGTAGCATTTATAAGAATTTTTCAACAGGATTTGCATAGAATATGTTTAATATCTCAAGCAACGCTCGAAAGGTATAAATGAAAATTTATGTTTTATAAATTTGACCCCAAATAGTTGGTTACAACAATTCCCTGCAGTGGAAAGTGGAAAGAGAGTAAGAAACGTGTAAAAGCTTCCATCACAAAGATACTCCAACACAAGTGTATTATCAATTTCCTTTTGCTACTCTCACCATTCCTTGAATATAATTGCTTCTCAAATTATCATTTTAGTTTTGCCACACTACTAGCTTAGCTTTATAAAAGTTAGGTTAGTATACAAAGATAACACTTTTACCCGATATGGCTGATCTTTTTATTTCCAAGGATTAATTACTGTTTGGTTGTCACGAGGTTGTCTATGATTCAATTAACGTGGCATTTTAATTCAATTATATGCCTTTGTGGGTGCCAGCTAGTCCAATTAGTGAGGGTCTTATAATTATTTTCAAGGTTTTAGGTTTGATCAATATGATAAATTCCTACCTTGAGGAATTTTGGGTGGGCAAAAAAAAGTAATGCCATTTAGAGTTTTTGTTTTTCTTGCTAGTCATTGGCCCTTTGTGCAACTTGAGCGTGGAAAGTGGTATTTGTTTATATTCTAATGTTTACTGCGATAGATCAAAATTACCAGATCATCATATCTCCATATGCATTAAGATCGGATGAAGCAGTCTTTTAGCTCTAAGATTGACTGTCGTCATTTATGCATTTCGGGCTGATTTCTATCTATTTTTGCATGGTTAAATAAAATCGACAGATGTTCCTGATTCTCATCTGAATAAAATTTCAAACTCACTCTTGTGTGTTGTTTTGATATGTTAGCCTGAGGTGCCGCTTACTGTTGGCGGCTTGCTGCATTCATTGGGCTTAGGAAAATATTCCATCAACTTCCAGGCGGAGGAGGTAATTCCGTCTTCCTTAAACTTTAATTTCCGTTATTTCAAGTAATGTTTTGGAAATGCTCATAATTATCTTATGTTGATAAATATTGAATTTTCACTATGTGTTTCACCAGTTATTATGCCAATACATGGTATTATGCTTAGCATTGCTTGGTTTGACCTTTCTCAACATCTGCACAATTTCTTGTTCTTTTGTTTCCCTCGTTCAAGATACTGACAAAAGGCTAAGTCTTGATTACCGATTATAAACTGTATTTAGAGTGCATAATGCAAAAACAATCAGCATTGGATGCAGATTTATGTATAACCAATGTCTTGCAGGTTTGCCTCTTGAAAAGGCAAGTCGTTCTGGCTTTAGTGGATCCGCTTATGATTAGGCAATAGGCATCATAAAAATTTCCATATACTGGCTTGGAGAATTTTGCTAGCTTCTGCCGTTAAACCTTCTCTTGAATGAGATATAACATGAGATCTCTCTGGAGTTGGATTAAACAATACTGAAAACATATAGTACTTGTATACATTATGATATAGTGTTGCTAAGGGTTTGAAGATTTATGAATGGAAAGAGCGAACTAAGATATAAAGAATATAATCATCTATTCCTCTCCAAATGCAGGGTATCATTCAAAATACGATGTTTATAACCAAGTTTTCATGGCTATACAAACTTTCATATATGAATCTAAGGGGAAGTTCCAAAGTCATAAGAATAGAACGAGATATTTTTTAGAATGAAAAGAAATTCATGAATGGCCTTTGATCGTTCATGGAAGTTAGATGAATAAGAGAGCAAGAAACGTGTAAAAGCTTCCATCACAAAGATGCATGGATCTATGGATGGCCGTCCAAACGTGAATCTATTTGTAAAGTTAGTGGCCTACATATATATTTACAATAGACAGATTGAAGAGTTAGATATAATGTTTTGGTGTTCTATTGAGAATGGATGTGCACGTGATGTATGTGAAAAGTATCTTTCTATCGTAGTGGTATTCAAGACATCATCTTGTCATTTTAAGAGTTTGAACGATGCTTAGTATATTTTTGCTTGCCTATTCTCCTAAACGTGTCAGATATTGGTGGATCATTTATTTTCCTTATAGTAAAATATGATAAAAAAGTGAAAATGGGATTTATCCCATAGGTTTCAACTTTGCTTCTTAAATCTATACATATGGTAGGTAATTCAATCAAGAGAGGCGGCAGCCTTTAATTACCCCTTTTTAATCAGTTGTTACCATTATAATAGAGTAGATTGGTATCCTTAGCATATACTACGGGCTTTCATGGCAGTAGTGGAAAGTGTACTTCTCCTTCTTACTATGACTGCAAATAAAAAACATGATTTTTAGAGCGGCAATTGTACTATTTCCTATCACCCTATTTTGATTTTCTTCTGTTAGAAGGTTCCGTATTAATTCTGCTCTTTATCCTGATGTAATGGCGCGTTAGTACAGTTTCTTTTGTGATTTCTGAAATAGTTGCTGTTGAAAGTATCACGAATGTTTAACTGCACTATGTCATATGTTAAATATCAACTATTTAAATGTGCGAAACTATTTCATCCATTGATTTCATTGTAATTTTTTTACCCAACCAAAAAGTATTATAAAATTAAGTATTGCAAAGTTGAGGATGCTCAAGTGGATGAGTGGCTTTACATTTAGAGACAAAATGTAAAATGAATATATACGTGAAAATGTTGGAGTAGATCTAGTGGCATATAAAATTAGAGAGAATTGCCTTGGATGGTTTGGCCACATAAAATGTTGGCTTTCCGATGATCCGGTTAGGAGAGTAGATATATTATATTTGACCTATATTAAGAAAAGTTGATATAGATCTATAAGGATTTGGTTAGAAGGTTTTTTAAATTAATTTTTTTTATTAGGTTTAAGTGAGAATTTGAATCTTAATAGGACACATTGGAGAAAAAAATTCATGCTGACCTCACGTAGTGAAATAAAGGCTTGATGTTGTTGTATTATTATACCAGATTTTTTTTCTAGATTCTTCCTTGTCTTTCATGTCTATGTATGATGACTTGAGCTTCCTTTGCAAGATCTGCTTAATTGTTTGAGATTTACGGTTTTGGCTGCTGTTGGCAGATTGACATGGCAGCGCTCAGGCAAATGGGAGACAGTGACCTGAAAGAGTTGGGGATACCCATGGTACGTTGTTGTTTCTTACTTTAGTTGGTTTTCAGAAATTTATTTTGGTTTTATTGATGCCGTCCTTTGCTAAATTGCTTGCTACTATGAATACTATCTACCTTTGGGCTTTAACTTATTTGGGCCTTAACTTATTTTTGCTAGCTTGTTGCTTTAGCTTTATTGAACTCATTATTTTATTTTCTATGAAACTAGTTGAACTCTTTTTCATATCCAAAGATGTGATAACTATGACATTAATGTTATTCTTTGTTCGGTTAATTACAATGCCCCTTAAACTTTATGATATCCTTACCAAGCTGACTGTAATAACTTGCTAATCTGAATTAGAGACAAGAATCAAACTTTCACTTTAGTGGGTGTGATATAATGACTTCCTGTGAAGATTTACTGCAATATGTAATGCAATCTTTGTGTAATAGGTTTAAATTTCTTGGAAATCCTATTCGAGGAATGAGGACATAAATTTTAAAGTTAAGTCGAAATTTCGAGCATTGTTCCAAGTTTAAGTCATATAAATAACCTGTGCAAATTTAGGATAAGACGGCAAGCATCAAACCCAAGTTACCCAACAAGACTATTTAAGTAAAATGATGAATTTTCTTAGTTGAGTGCTATGTGATAATTGAATATTGTGGAGATTTTAGGTATATTTTTTAAAACTGCAATTAAGTATAGGTAATAAAGAAGTTATTGGTAGCCAAAGTTCATTGCGGCATGAATAAGAATGTTACAATAAATGTATGAGAAAATTAAAAATAATAGATTTAGGCTTTATTTGGGACGACTTTCTTAATGCTTCTTAAAGTAATTTTCTAGTACTAAAAATAAAAATTTTATGCTAGATAGCTGTTTTAAGAAACAATAATAAAGCCGTCCCAAACGGCGGTATTAGAGGTTGCGGCGGTGGCATCTAAGCCAATGTTCATTGTGGCATGTATTTTTGCTTGCTAGTTTAAACTCATATTGTATTCTATTTAGCTTTTGGTTTAGATGAGTCTCCTACATGGCTCACCTACATACCCTGCAGCCGCTGTCTCTTATATTCTTGTGCTCTCCTTATATATTTATATTTATATATTTGAAGCTTATTCTTATTGACTTGAAAGGTTACAACAATTCCCTGCAGGGACCGAGGAAAAAGATCTTGCTGGCTCTTTTGCCGCGATTGAAACAAAGGCAGCAGCGTTGAGAAAAAGGAAAATTTCGGTTGGATAACTGGCATTTCATCTAAATTAAAATCCCCAAAAGTGATGTTGTAAATCATTTGAACAGCTCTCCCCATCAGGGTAAAGTCTCTTGAATTCATTTTCTGATATGTCCTTAGAGTATTTTGTAACTTTTGGAAGCATCCATTGCATCAGATTAAGGCTTTGTTTGGGATGGCTTTTTTACCGCTTTTAAAAGTAAAATTTTATTATAAAAATTAAATTTTTTTTACTAAGAAGTTGCTTTAAGCAGCAGTAAAAAAACCGTCTCAAATGAAACCTAAAACTACAACATCACACATGCGAATGCTGCTTCATCCAATGAGTCTCTTCTTGAACATGAGCACTGTTATGTTTGCTTGAATAATATAGATCTTAGTTTCTTGTTCTGCCTCTGCTTGTTTTGTTAGAAGTATGAGAGAAAATACCTGTAGGGATAGATGCTAAGCTTCGTTTGGGATGATTTTCTTATTGCTTCTTAAAGTAGTTTCTTTGTATTAAGAAGCTGCTTTGAGAAGCAGAAAGAAAACCGTCCCAAATGAAGTCTAAAGTTTCGTTTGGGATAGTTTTTTTTTTATTGCTTTTAGAGTAGCTTTCTAGTACAAACATTTAATTTTGGTACTAGAAAGTGTTTTTATTAAAAACAAGAAAAAATATCTCCAAACGAAAGCTTTAAGTATATCTAGTATTTAAATGCCCCATTTGTATTGCATATATAATTGGCAGTCATAGATTAAATAATTATGTAGTAAAGTACTTTCATAATATATAATATGTTAATTAATCTATATATTAAGATTATTAAATAAAGATAATTTTTATAAATGATTTATATAATTCATTAATGTATATAATAATTTTATATGTATATGATAAATTTATTTGTTCTTTTATTGATTAATTTTGTTTGATTTTCTATAATTCATTTTTGTGAAGTATTTCTGGTATTAAATTCAGTTTATAGTTTAATAAACAAACTTATATTTTTTTTTAAGTTGGATTTCCTTATAAGTTAATTAAGGTTTTTTAATTGCATGCTAATAGATTACTTTTAAAACGTTAATAATAAAGTTGAAAAAAAGTTTAATATGAGATATATTTCTGAGTGTTGAGCAGAACAATGTAGCTGGGTTTTTAATTCAATGGTATGATTTTCATTGTTATTATATTAAGTTATTCTACATCAATGAATTTTACAATCTATAATTTCCAGTTATCTAATTTACATAAGTTGGTTAATTATAATTATTATTTATAGAAGAGTAATTATTCATTTTTGGTGATTTTTTGTTTTTTAATCATAATTGGTAATTTCAGCTATTGATGACTTTATCCTCTTTAGTGAAGATGAGTATAAATCGAGTTGAAATATATTTTGTTTTATCTTGTTATTTTTAGGTGAGTGACGATTCATCAATTTAAATTGTTTATAGACAGATACTATATTTTTGGTTGGTCTTTATAATTATTATGTTTTTCTTTTAAAATAACGTAGAAGCAAGTATTTGGGATGTATACCTTCTAAAGTTGAATATTTCAATATCATTATTCATAATAACTAAATTTTATAATGTACTCAGGGAAACAGATTCTGGATAGCAAGGATATTCAATTTTTGCTGTTTTAAATTTTAAAAGAGAAAAATAAGTTGTGTTTACATATTTGAATAAAAAATAAATATTTTAATTAAAATTTAATTGATTGTTAGATATTAAATGCTCTATGATTTTCAATTATTGTAATAATCAATCAGAAATTTTATTTTTCAGAAAGAAGGGATTTTTATAAATAAGTTATTTATGATTTAGTTATTTTTGATATAATATAAAATATTATCATTTCAATATATAATTAATCTAATATTAATTAATAATTTTGATTTATAAAAATTAAATCTCACCATCAAAAGTATCAACACACATTCTCTTCACCGTTTCATATTTTCTCTTTAGATCCAAGTTAGATAAAAACAAAAACTTATCGTCTTTCTCCTCCCAAGCCTAGAAGACAAAGCAGCCTCAAATTTGACGATATGTTTGAATTTGAATGATTAAAATTTTATGGCATAAAAAGCATGGTTTTCATGTTTTAAAGAAAGATTATCTCGTGTGACTTATTCAATGTCAATTTCAAAAAAAATATTTGAGTTTAATCAATTGTTCTTTGAGATAATTACATCCACTTTATATTCATGTCAATGATAAGATGAAATTAGGATAGTATAGTTAAAATAATATGCAACTCCAAATATTTTCTTTCATTAATATGTTAGTCCAGCTGAAAAGAAATAGCTTAATTGACTATTTATTGTATATTTATAAATAGTCAGTAAATAATTAATAAATATTCAATTATCAATATTAGTGAATATTTTATAAGTATTTGTTGATTTATTATATATTTATTAAATATTTGTTGAGTATTTACAAATACACAGTAAAATTCTTGGGCTCTTGCTCAGTAGTTATAGCTCAGGTTCAAGCTTCGTTTTAACAAACGACCTAAAGCTCAAACTTGATCGCTCGGCTTTTCTCAGTTGGGTTGGGCTCGGCCAGCTTCATTTGCATCCCTAATAGCAATCTATCACCCACAATACTTGAAGAGGTTATTATATGTGAAGTTCGGATATAATTTACATCAAGAATAATTGTTTTAGATTATTCTTGCTGTTTGGTTGCCTGAATTAGGAGGGTAAAGTAAAACAATTACATGCATTTATTAAATTTAGTTATTTGATTAATTTTGAGCAGAATAAAAAGAAGTACTCCAAAATATTACGAGTGTATTAGGAGGCCTGTTTTGTGGGAATTAGAAAACCTCAACCCCTCGTTTTTTCTTGTATCCAAAACAGTAACCCTGTTTTTTGTTTTTTGGTGCATCTCAGGCAATATTTCTCTGGGACAAGGAGGCCATGCTCACGCTTGGGTTTGCCCAAGACCAGTGCTATCAGGTTGTTTATCTGCTTTTACTAGTTCTTTATGTGAAGTGTAGGAATTATTATATTCAAAGATGAATTGCTGAAATTATTTTTCTCCCGTAATTCTGGCTGATGGTATGAATCTTTTGATGTTATGTTTAGAGCTCTAACCTTTAGTAGCTTGGGATCTATAAAGTATTATTACATACTTTGTTTTCACTTGTATGATTATTTTTTATGATTCATGCTAAATCTAATTAAATAAATTGAATTAAATAAAAAAATTATAACACCAAATAATATTAATTATTTTAAATACACTGCTTTTATAAATATACTTATTTTAATGCCAAAATAAATTATTAAAAAAATGCTTTTACTTTACTCTGAATATACCTAATCAAACAAGGGAAACAATTATCCTGCGTTTATTTTGCAGAGAACCAAACATGCTCAAAATATTCAGAATGCATTACATTTACTTTACACTGCATTTACTTTACACTGCATTTACTTTTCAGACAACCAAACAGCCCCTAAGTCATAAGTGATCTTAGCCATTGATTTGAATTGAGAGAGGCGGACGGTTCGAGCCAAGATCCACGATCTCCCTCTAATTTGCGAAAATGAACTGCTCCCTCTCCCATTCGCTCTATCTCGCTGCAGTTCGCGAAATCAGCCGGCCCTCACACTCTCATTCGCACGAAGCCAAGCCCATTCGCTCTCCCTCTCTGCAGTTCCGAAATCCCCAATCCCTCGTCGCTCTTGCAGTTCGCGAACAGCCTCAGCCCGTCGCTCCTCCTCTTCGCGTGCTTTAGTTGAAGACTGCCCCAGCCCGTCGCCACTTTTTGTTCACGAAGAAGCCCCGGCCGCATCTCTCTCTGGCCAGTCTTTGACGCCTTAGCCGATCCCGTTTGAAGCCTTTCTTGCACAAGCCATCGTCCATAGGTGCATTCTTCCCATCATTTTTTTTTTCTTTTTCTTCACTTTCCCTTTCTCTATTAACAATAAGAGCACGTTCTTCTTCTCTTTCTCAAAAGGTTTCTTCCCCTTCAACGTATATCTCTATCATCTCTATATAATTATTGGATTAGTTTCAAGATTTGAGTGATTCGTTTAAATCTACTTATGAAAATAATGGGGCACATCGCTCATTTTATTTCTTGAGTTTGTGGACAATTTCTATGATACTCTCTGTTGGAGAAAGTGGTATTCTAGACAAAAGAAAATTATTACCATTCTTTATGAATTTTTGAGATTGATGAGCTTATGGGTTTATACATTTGGGGAAAAATGTTTTTAATAAGTGAAAAGTATTTTCCTCTCAATTTTTTTTTATTGTATTTGTTGTTAGCGTTATTTGAAAGGATCTATTCGCAATAATTTTTTTTTTTCAATTGTTGTCGGTTTGGCGCCTAAATTATCTCCTCTGCGACTATGCAAATAGTTGAGTTAAGTTTTTGTTACTGAGACTGATTTCATGACATTTAAAATAATTTGCAAGAAGTGTTTCATTCATTCATGTTGTGTATATTTGCAAATAGGAAGCCTATAAGTTTAATTTGGGAATGGATAACTTGTGATCGCTTTGTTCTTACTTGAGATTAAAAAAATGACATGAGTGGTATTATTCATAATTAGAAAGAAAATCATGATAGCATGCTCATTTTTTTGGTGAAGGAATTAGAAAGTTTTATAGAAGATGTAGAAAGATGTTTAGCATCCTTTTGCAATTGTTTGAAGGAGAATATATGAGTGTTGGAAATTTGTATTTCGTTTGCTGAAGTCATAAGTAGTAATGAAAATTTTGTAAAAGTTGCTTTATGATTGTTGAAGGGTATCTTGAATTGGCTAGAGAAGAATTTGGAGATCTTTTATTAATTGTTGTCTTTATATTTGTAGCTTAGTGCAATGAAGGCTTATGTAAATAGTTGGCAGCATTAATTTTTTTTTTAGTGAAAAATGTGTTTATTGAAAAGTGATGGTTGTGGAAGATGGAAAATAACTTGTGAGGCCTCGAAAGGCGAAGTGTTTTAATAGGTGTATGTTTTGAAAGGTTCAATTGTGAGCTTGAAAGGATGAAAGGTGAAAATGTACGTTGGAAAGATTTTGTGTAGGAAAGGTGAAAAGCAAGTGGTTAGATTTTGAAAAATAGATAAGTGTGTGCATATGTATGTTTGAAAGATGAGATATTTTGAAAAGTGTGTGTGTTAGAAAATGTATAGGTGGAATAGTGAAATGTTGAAGTGAAAAGTGCGTGTATGTGAAATGTACGAGCTTTGAAAAATGTGAGTTTGGAAGGGTAAAATGTATGTTATTTTGAAAGGCAAAGGGTATATGTGCATTCGGAATCACATCATGATGCGGACATCGGTACAAAGATTTGGCGCATCTATCACAGGAGGCGTCGCAAATCGACAGCCATGATTTAAACCTTTAATTATGATTTATTTTTCTGCATTTTAGTTCTTA